TCCCCTCCCCCAATTCCCCAATAAAATCTTAAAACAAACAAACAAAAAAACCCCACATAAATAAGATAATTTCTGAGTGTGAAAAATGCTATTAAGAAACCAGAGCAGGGTAGTGGATAGTGGTTGAGTAAAGGAGGCCTCTTTAGGTAGAGTGCTCAGGGATGCTTCTTGGAAGGGTGACCTTCGAGTTGTGATCCAGATGGTGAGAAGGGACTGGCCAGGAAATACCTTGAACAGTTGAGGCGGCGGCTGTGTTTTCTAGTGTCTTTTCTTCATGTAGGCTGGATCTCGGCGAGTGGCCCACTTGGTGGGGCTGCTCTGCATGGGGCTTGGGCTCTCCCCGAGGCTGGCCCAGCTTCTCACCATCATCCCGCTGCCTGTGCTTGGTGAGTGCGTGTATCAGCACGACTGGTATTGAACCAGTACACCCCACCCCAGTGTGGCCCAACTGGTTGCTTGTGGTCGGTACCCTTTCTTTCTGAATAGCCTCCCTGATATACAGATATGAGCGTGTGTCAACTGCCCTCATTTTCTCAGCTGAACAGAAGCCCTTAACTGGGCTTCTGGCAGAATAAAAAATGGGCCTTTGGTCATCTCTATCACAACTTGCCCTGCCCTGTGATACTCCCTGCTACGCCAGCCCTCTCTCAACCCCTCTGATTACTTCCATACGAGACAGGTGGGGTGCTGGGGGTGACCCAGGCTGTGGTTATGTCTACTGGATTCTCCAGCTTCCACCTGGCTGACATTGACTCGGGGCGGAATGTCTTCATTGTTGGCTTTTCCATCTTCATGGCCCTGCTGCTGCCAAGATGGCTTCGGGAAGCCCCTGTCCTGCTAAGCACAGGTAGGAGGAGTGGGGAGGGGAAAAGGAGTTACTCAGTAGCACGAAAGCAAAGGCTTGAGGCTTGAGGCTCTCTGGACTCTAAGCCCACACCTTCTTTGGGCTTTGATATAAATAGTTTATCCATTTGTTTAGCAAGTATTTACCGAGGACCGTGCTAGTCCCCTGGGATACAAAGGTGCCCCCAGGTATTACAGTCTAGTAAGAGATGAGATGTGTAGGCACATACAGGAAAGGTTCAAATAAAGAGCTGTGCTGCTCAGTGGTGAGAGAGATGGATGGCTTCTGTTTGAGATGACCCAGGTAAGTTTTATGATGAAAGTAACATTGAGCTGGTCTTGAAGGATGGTAAGATTTAAACACATTTGGTGAGAAGGTCATTCCTGGTGGAGGAACCATCACAAACAAAGACATAGAAGTCGGAAGTCATAGGGGATATCCTGGGAGCAACAAAATAGCTGTTTGTTAGCTCAGCTTAGCAAATAGTAGTGGCTCTCAACTGAATATGATTTTGCCCCACAGGGAATGTTTGGCAATGTCTGGAGACATTTTTGGCTATTACAAACAGGGAAGGGGGATTGGTACTGGCATGTAGTGGGTAGAGGGATGCTACTAAACATTCTACAATGCACAGGACAGCCCCCCTCAAAGAATTAGCTGGTCTAGAATGTTAGTAGTACTGAGGTTGAGAAACCTAGGAAAGAGCACAGAAGGTAAGTGGGAAATAATGTTGGGACTTTTAGTACCAAACTTTCCAGAGACAGGGAGCCTAGCACTATCAAAGCATATCTAGAGGGCATATGAATGCTCAGAAGATAGGGTGTTGAGTGGGGATCTTGTGGGAAGGGCCTGGGTGTGGGAAATGGAGAGTAGAGGGACAAAGGACAAAGGGGATGGAACAATAATTCAGAAAGATCTGTCCTTAGCCAAGACTTAGGTTTAGTTCTGGAAGTAAAAGACTCCTCGGCCTTGCATAGGATCAGAGTTCCCCTCCTGCCTGGCCCCAACCCCCTGTAGGCTGGAGCCCCATGGATGTGTTTCTTCGTTCACTGCTCATGGAGCCCATCTTCCTGGCGGGACTCTTGGGCTTCCTCCTAGAGAACACTATTCCTGGTAAGTTGAGGCTAGACCCCCAGCAGACTGGGGAGTGGCCAGGAAGTCATTACTCCCTGGGTTAGACAATGGCCTCACCAACCTCTTTTGCAGGCACACGGCTTGAGCGAGGCCTAGGTCAAGGGCTGCCATCTCCTTTCCCTGCCCAAGAGGCTCAGATGTTTCAGAAGTCCAGGAAGAAGGATGCTCAAGAATATGAACTCTCTTTCCCCCTCCAAAACCTGTGTCTCTGTATCCCCCAGCCCCTCCATTGCTTCTGCCCGCTGCCTGAAGACTCTCGGAATGCGGAAGGAGGGCCCACTGAGCCAGGAGAGACAGTTGAGTTGTTGCCTGGTTTTGGGGAACAGTGCTCTGGGCCTAGCAGAGAACTTAGGTCCCAATAATTACCAAGACTCCTTCTGCCCTGGTTAGTTTAGCCCTATCTCCCAGCTTGCTGGACAGTCAGCTCCCAGGTTCTATTTTCTCCTTAGGGAGAGGGTGTGTGTGTGTAAAATGGGCCCACCTAAAGGTCTCATTTCCCAGTAGGCGTGTTGCCTTTCCTTCTCTTAATTAGGCCTAACTGTTCCAGAACAGGCGCCATGGTTCAGCGGGCCATGAATGAATAAATGAGATTTTGCCTGTGAACTATCCATATTTGAACACTAGTATTCACTTAAATATTTATTGAGCACGTCTCATGTGCAAGGTCCTGGAACTACAGATATGGATAAGGCAGGGTCCCTGCTCTCTCAAGGCAATTACGGTTTAAAAAGATTTATGTGATTAACTAAAATCCAAAGCAGAAGCAGTCCATAATAAAGATTAAAACAATGCTATGGGGGCCAAGAGGAAGAAACAATTAATTCTGACTGGGGATTGTGGGAAAGTCTTTATGAAAGAAGCAACACTGGGCCTGGACTTGGCGAGAGGAAGATTTTTGATTGTGGAAAATAGATGGGGAGAATTTTTCAGGCTCAGGTATACAGCTCAAGAAAAATCATAGTACAAAGTACACGAGTTGAGGGATTTCCAGCTTCTCAGTGGCGATGGAGCATACTTATGGGAGTGGATGGAGGGAGAAATGAGACAGGCAAGGTAAAGGATGAGGTTAGACCACGGGATTTATGCCTGGGAAGCTCGTCTTTCAAACAACTTGTGTGCTGGTGAGGATTGGAGAGATTAGTGAAATTCAACCCTCTCGTTTTATATACTGGGGGTGCCAAAAAAATGTATACAAGTGGACACTTTGGTCAAAGTTGCTCAAGCAGTAGTTTGCCGTAATCAGAAGTGTGTGGACAGACGCTGATGCCAACCACTTTGAGCACCTCTTGAAATTGCAGAAGTCAAACGTCACTTGTATTCATCTTTTGTTATCAGAATATATTATTACAATTTTAATAGTTTTCCTTTCTTAAAAAGTTCATACATTTTTTTTAGCACCCTCTGTATATACGTGGTTGGACAGGTAGGGGAGGGAGGGGAAGTGACATCTACCAACAAGTCCAAATACAGGGACCCCTCTGTTGCACACGCGTCAGCATTCTTTCCACTCGCCTCGCGGGGCTCTAAAGAGCGCCGCTAAGCCCCCACCTCTCTAACAGCGGGTCGCCCACCCTTTCTTCTTGCTGTTCTGGTCACGGTGCTCCACCAGTTCTCAGCGCTCCTTTAACCAGCTCAGTGGGCCCAGGTGCCCCGCCCACGTCAGATTCGGGCTCCGCCCCTGTCCCCCAGGGCGGGGCGGGAATGCCTTTACTTTAGGCCTCTCGGTTTGCACGGGCCGGCGCGTGGGCCTGCGGCCGGGAGGGTGGGAGCTGTCGCAGCCGCTCACGGTAGGTGGGGTTGGGCTCGAATCTGGGCCGAAGCCTGGGCCAGGGCCGGACGGCGAGGGCCTGTCTGGGCCCTGCAGCGAGCACAGGCGCTTTCTCCCAGAAGGGACTCGCATGCGGCCCGCGTTTAGGGGTCGAGCTCCCGCGGGTGGGCGGGGCTGCGGGGGCCGCGCGTGCGCAACCCTCCTCCTGGCAGCGAGGCGGGATCTGTGAGGCTACTTCTTGGCGGGCCGCTTGGTGCGAGGAAGCAGCCACTTGTCGGCTTTGTTACCCTCCCCCTCCAACCCCTGAGGAGTCCCGAGCCGTACCTTAGTGCAGCCGATGCCGTAGAAATGGAAAGGTGGACCGCGAAGGCCCTTGTAGCAAGGGCGGATGGCAATTGGACGCCACGCGGGGCTTCTGGGATGGGGCAATGATAAAGGGAACGAGGGTTCGTCCCCTCCTAGAGGGACGGGACGTGGCTCAACCTGGATTGTGGCTAAGGCCTTGCTGCCCTCTGCAGGATGGCGGAGGAACTGCGCGGAGAAGGTTTCACGGCTGAGGGGCGGGGCTTGATGCAAACCGGGATCCTTAGGGGACCCCACCCCCTTCATTCAAGAAAAATAAACGGGTGAATCTGGTTGACCTGAAGGTTAAAGGCAGTCTTGAAGGAAAAAAGAAAAAGGTGGGATAGACAGGCTTCAGGCCAGGACTCGCGAGGTGAGAGCAGCTAACCCCCGGTCGGCTGGGGAATGTCTCAGACCTTTTTATGGGGCCTGTTGACCCTGGCCACATTTTCAACTCTCTCATTCCCCAAACAAAACAAAAACCATAACAATTGGAGGAATTTGAGCTTCCGGGCTTTCCGAAGTTACGGGCTAAGATAGTAACCACGATTTTGGTGACTCTGAGTGCACATTGGTGAGTGCCTATTAGGGAGAGAAGGACTTGGCGACTTGAGTTCATTTGCGTTTGTGACCTTTGGCAAGGTGGAACTCTGGTCCAGTGAGGACTAGCTTAATCATTCCAAGATCTTCTCTTCCCCCTAGGAACAACACCTGGGAAGTGTGACTGACATACCATTCTCCAAACATAAGGTTTTGAGGCTGCTGCAAATAAAAAAATCACAGTATCTATTTATGTTTCACCTGTCTAGTGACTGTACAAATTAAGTTATGTTACAAGGCCATGTTGGAAGAAGAATGGCTTAGCCAGCGGCTCTCAACCTTCCTAATGCCGCAACCCCTTAATACAGTTCCTCATGTTGTGGTGACCCCCAACCATCAAATTATTTTCGTTGCTACTCTATAACAAATTTTGCTACTGTTATGAATCGTCATGTAAATATCTTTTTGTTTTCCGATGGTCTTAGGCGACCCCTGTGAAAGGGTCGTTCGACCCCCAAAGGGGT